GCTGCTGAAATTCCCGTGGTATTTTGGGTTGCCCACACACACACACACTCAAAGCCCACCCAAACCCACCACTCCAAGCCGTGGCAGGCGTGGCAAACCCACTTCACCCCCATGTTGGAGCTTACACATCGGCTTATAATCCTCAGACCCAGACGTGAGCGGACGGAATGCCGTAGGCTCTGCCACCCCCTCCTGACTCCTTCCCTGCCCCATGTGCGTGCGACATGACCCTGCGCTTTCCGTTGTCTCCCCAGCTGGTTTGCAGGGCCCTCGTGCAGCTTCCGGTTGAAAAGTGTCCGTGATCTTCTGCCTTGTGAGTGCATCCGACGCCATGACCGGGACGACTTTACTGAAGCTGAGCATCCCATACCGGTTCGGAAACACTCGAGAACACCGTCACGGAGATGTGGACGTCAGTGAAAGAAACCATGATTCCTCTTCCAGCAAGGCAAATTGTAAGAAGGATGACAAGTGTCCGTTTGAGATGTTTGAATGCCTGAAGATTGAGCAGAGCAGGGGTCGGTAGCAAAACGCACCTTTACGGCAAGCATCGCGGAAAGACGCTTTGCTGCGAGGCACCCGCAGTAAGTGCCTCTTCCTGAATACATATGCAAGAGCCTCCGTTCCGGTGACGGTGGAGAAAGTGCATGCCAACCAAGCTCATCTCCAGAAACGCACAGGCATATCATATCGCTGCGAAGTCACTGGCAGAGGTGAACAGTCGGCAAAGCCAGACAAGGATCACGTGAAGTTTTCGTTAGCCGCCATGGGGTAATGGGGTCCTGATGAAAAGAATGAGGAGAAGGGCACGTGAGCAAAGCTGAGTTTCGGACAACCATCAAAAAAGAATGCACAAACTTGCTTCCTATGAAACCTCGGGATCATCGTGATTAATGTTGAGGACGAGGGTCATTTTGCGGCTTAAGTTTGACTCATGGCGAGCGACATCAGGAACCCAGGAACAGGCGCGTGTCTTTTCTTTAATTTTGAGCGGTGGCCATCCACGAACAAACAACGAAAGACTCAAATTCAAGAGCCACAGAACCAGGGCAGTTCCGACTTGCAGGTTTTGTGCTTGTTGGGATGGTCTCAAGAAATGGCTTTCTCAGACAGCGATGAGGTATGTGTTGTCATGCGTTGCCTTGGGACAGTCTCAGACTCGAAAAATGGTGCTTGTTTTGGTTTCTGTTCTTTCCTTCTTGGTACTGGTGCGAGAACTGGCTTTGACAGATTCTGACATTATCATGTTTGTTTTTCGGGGGGGGGGGGGGCAGGGGACTGTCGTCACTGGCTCAACAATTAATTAAAACAGGAGATCGGCAATTAGGATCTCATCTGTGTAGTCTTTGTAGCCCAGCCTATATAGGGCAAGCCTCGAATAAGCTTGCACTAAATTTCGGTGCAAAACTAGAGCAGAGCTCGCAGGTAGTTTTGTAGGCACTTTCAGCCTGCTGTATGGATGACCTCACACCGAGAACACAATGAGACTGGTGTCTTATCTTATACATCTGAATTGTGCATCTACAAGAAGAGACAAACCCGTACGTGCACACAGCAGCGACAAATGCATGCTGGCTGTCAGCTTGTGCTGTTGTGGCTGTCGTTCGGACTACTGGTGCATGCTAGGCTCAGCAGTCACTCGCGAAAGTTGTGTTGACCTCAGATGTCAGATGTTCCAAAAGCCAGTCTGCAGTGAAGCTCGTTTCAACTTGTGTAGAAAATCTTTACATGCAGTCTCGCGATCAACACAAGGCACTTGCAAGCAAGTCTTGCATCTGCCCAAGCCTCTCGATAGCACGTGACCATCTAATCTCTGGCTCTTTGGCTGGAGCCAGAGGCGGTACCAGAGGTGAGGAGCCAATGAGCGCAACACTCTCACGCCAGCGCCCGCTGGCGTGAGGTGTGGAAGGAAAAGTTGCACAATACTGTTTTGGCATTTTTCTTTCTGCTGGTAACGGCTTAGAGAAATGTCTGCAAAGCGTATGTCGAGAATAGCTATGTAGTTGGCTCCCGGCGGGCTAGGCTTGTCTCGCAAAGTAGTATAGTTGGAATACCTGAACCAGAGTCTCAGAGGGGGTTGCATCCATGCCACCTGAGCTGCACAGCAGCTCTCCAAGCACAAGGTGCCAGTTGTCTGCATGGTGGCCTCCAAAGCATAACTCACTACTACGTGAACCAAGGCTGGAGAGTCGTGGACTTGTGGTCGAGCATCCAAGGCGCTTCGGCTTTGCTTACAATCAAACAAACCCGTATTCTAGAGATGTAGGGCTTTTCCAGTCCAAGCTTACGAGATCTTACGAGCGACATGTGCGCGTGTTCGGCATGTGCTGGAATCATTTTGACCATTTTCATGTCTCGCATGCGGCTGGTTTAGGTCCGGAACTCTTTCGATAGCAAACGTGTATCTTGGAATAGGGCCCTTAAACGCATGTGCAGCAGCGTGTTAGCAAGTAAAGACCAATGCAGACGACTTGCCTTCCCCATGTGTGGTTCTTGCGAACCTAGAGACTAAAACATGGGGCTCATAGTGCTTCTGCAGCTTTGCCGGCTTTTCGCCCACATCCCTGCATGCAGGGAGGCTGTCACCTCGGACTCGCGTGAAGGACGCCGTGGACGTCTTTCCTGCTTTTCAATTGTCTGCGGGCAATTCAAGTCTGCGCAAGTCTGGCTTTTGTGGCGAAGGAGCTGAGGCGGCAGATGCGGCAGGTTCAAAGAAGAGTGCGGCTGTTGCCAAGCGCCCTCGATTGGTGCTGGACGCGGACAGGCCGCAGCTGAAGTCCTGCAGGGCGTCCTGTGTGTGCGTGTAGTGTGCGTGTGTGCGCTTTTTTTTTCAGGCGTGTTTCTGGGGGAGAGGCGCGCGGGACGAAGCATGCAACACCCTTACATACCCTTACTTCACTGCATATCACTGCACTGATGTGCGCAGGGATTACCGGCCTCGGCCCAGGCCCAAAGCCTCGGCCAGGGGGGCCACGTGACAGACGATGGCCATGGCTCATGTCTTGGCGCCGGGCTGGAAGCACAGAAGAAAGCAGCATAGCAGGAGTCAGGGGTTGTTCTGCGCATGTCCCAAGGGGAAAAAGGGTCCTTCGCTTCTGAGGTCTGTTGGACGAAAGCGCTTTCTTCTGGAGCGTAAACACTTGTCGCCGCGTTGTTGCCCTAAGACTGCCGCCGTCCTGAGTGGATTTGCGCCCGACCTCCATTTGCGTGGCCAGTGCACTCTTCCGAAGAAGCTGGCTCATGAGGTTTCGAGGTCGGTCTCAGAATATCTACGGAAGTTCCTAAGCCGTTTGTTTCAGTCGTCAGCTCATTCAGAGATGCAGCAGCAAGCTCATTGAGTAACACACTGGAGGCAACAAAACAAGTTGCTTTGTCTCGTCCGAATTTTTCATCTGACAATTAACTGTTGGTGCTTTTCGACAGTCTCAAGCTACTTAGCAAGGCGGGTGCAGAATGCAGAAAAAGGGTTGCTTGAGAACATTTGAGATGTTGACATACGCCGCGGTGCCGTATCACTCGCATCGGACGCCTGTCGCCTCTTGTGGCTCCGCGTGCGGGCCTCAAGGAGAAGCGTGTCGCGATCCGCGTAGCAGACAGGTCGCAGAAGGTCATGCAAAGTCAGTTTTCTTATTTTGTTTTTTTGTTTTGCTGTGTTTTTGGTGCTGTTGCCGTTTCCTTGCGGATGATCGGGGCCCGGTGGGCTTGATGAGGTACTTGGAAGAGAATGAGATAACGAGGCCGTGGGCTGCTGAGTGCTCTGGTGCATCTGGGCCTTTCTGCTGCGATGTGTCAGGCTTCCCCCCGGAACTCCACTGTGGAAGGTTCTTCAGACCGCACATGTAAGGCATAGTAAGGCCGTAAGGCATCTGGCATTCCGGGCCGGGCCACAGGAAGGTGTCCCGCACGTCAAGCCTGCGATGAAGGCGTGCTCGAGCTGTTGTGCCGCTATGCAGTCAAAGGCAGTCAAGCTGCTCTGGCCAGGCCCGCACCTCGCCATGTGCCGTGTCCGTGGCAGTTCGCATCTCAGACCTTGCTCGGAATCCTACAGTGGATCTTCTTGGTCTCTCGGTCTCGCTGCACAAGGTGCCAGCTGGCATTGCCAATCAAAGCTTGGTGCCTGCAGCTCAGTAGCCTACACAGTCTTGTGCTCCGAGGCCACAGGCACTTGTCACAAGGCAGTCGGGTTGTGGTCAATTATCACGAGCTAGCTTTTGTCACACGAAGGCCTCGACGCCTGGCCCTCATCCTACAAGCAGTTGGAAGTTGCTAGTTTAGCCTCTGCCCTTCTGCATTGGCCTGTGATTGCAGGTACAGCCAAGGCAAAAACACGTGCGCCGGATCCTCGATGCCTGTCAGCGTGGGATCAACAATCTGGGGAAGTTGCTAGTTTTTGCAGCGATCAGCCCCGCCGTCGAGAATGGAAAAGGTTAGGAGCAATGTCTGGCTGCACTTGTAGTAACAAACAATAGCCTGCGGCTGTTGATGTGACAATGACAATCTTGATGCATGATGCCGTTTCCAATCTTGATGAACTGTCTGCAGTCGCCTACGAAAAAGGAGATTTGGCAGACATTGTCTATGCAGATGACACGTTACTTCTTGCAACTTCCGATGGTCACCTGCAGGAGTTCCTTTCTAGAGTCGCCGATGCTGGAAAATTATACGGTATGGAACTTCATTGGGACAAGTTTCAGTTCCTTTCAGTTCAGTGCAGAGCTTGCATTCGCACACCGAGTGGAGAACATATCGAGCCGTCGCCTGGCATAAACTACTTCGGTGCCGTCGTCAGACACACATGTTTGCCTGGACACGAGCTTGGTCGCCGCATCGGGATGGCAAAAGTAGACTTCACGGATTTGCAAAAAGTTTGGAAGCACTCTTCCCTTCCTGTTCATCGGAAGGTTCATATTTACAGAACTCTGGTTGAATCCAAACTGATGTATGGTCTGAGTTGTTTATGCCTTTCCGCAGCCGAACGGAGACGCCTGGATGGGTTTCAAAACCGATGTTTACGTCGTATCACTGGCATTCCACCCTCTTTTCTTTCTCGTGTTCCAAACACGGCTGTTTTGCATCGTGCACGCTGCAGTGCCGCTTCTGAGATGCTCGTACAACGCCAGCTGCTTTTGTTCGGCAAGGTCTTAAGATCTCCACTGGACCATCCTTTGCACGTATCTGCGTTCATACCTGGAACTCTTCAGCCTGCTACCAGCAGGTATGTGAGGCGAGTAGGTCGACCGAGACGGGAATGGGTTTCTGAAGTAAGAAGTAGTGCTTTTCGGCATTTTGGCGGGTACCTTGAAGTAACCAGACTTGTGCATGACCCCATTGTCTGGCATCGTACGGTGCGTCAAGCCATACTAGTCCACGCGTCGCGCGGCGTATGACTCACTGACTGACTGACTGTTGATGTGACAATTCGAGAGCTTGCTTGGAGGGACTTATGACGTGATCTGTGGCCACGTTGGGTCAAGATCACACCGAATCCCCACAGCCCTAGAAGCCGCACCATAAGGCGTGTCGTGTGCCGCGCATGGGGAAGGATATTGTTCTGTGAACCCAAAGTCAAAATCACACACACACACACACACACACACACACTGTCTCTCTCTCTCTCTGTCTCCCCTCTGTCTTCTCCCTCTGTCCCTCCCTGCCTCTTTCCCTCCCTCTCTCCTCCCTCTCCTCCCTCTCCTCCCTCTGCTCCCTCCTCTCCCCCTCCGTCCTCCCAGCTCCCCTCGCTCTGTCCCTTCCTCTGTCTCTCTTTCTCTCTTTCTCTTTGTCTCTCACCCCTCACTCCCCTCCCGTGTTGTTTTGGACACCGTTTCTGAATCATCATAACCCTGTTCGGGACCACAGCCGGAACAATCAAAGAGACAGTCGCAAGCCTTCATGGCATCTTGTCCAATTGGATCATTATGCAGTGCAAAGCAGCACTCGGCGAATCTCCTGCAATCAGGACTGGGCCATCTCAGAAAACTGGACACCGAATGCCAATGGCAGCATAAGGGAAGTGTCAGACATCGCCAGAGCTGCCAACAAAAAAATCAGACTTGACCTTGCGACTCGGAGATCGCCTTGCCGTACCCAGTCAAAAGGGTCATGGAAGGGCCGTGATAACGAATCCTTCCGATCTGGGCCTCCGAAAGCAAGTCTTGTATGCTGTCCTGGCTGCTTTTACTCCTCTGCAACCGTGCTTCCACATGGCCGAGGCGGAGCAGTAGCTTGTCCGAAAGCGCGGAGGCTCCCGTGATGGTGTGTTTAGGACTCGCATGACAGCAGCTGATGGCTTGCAGGCCACATTGAGACGGATCTTCCAGTCAGTGGATGTCAACGGACTTGCTGGCTCGTATTCGCTCGCTCACCATGCATGATCACCCCGTGGATGCTCGCGGCGCTACCGTCTGGTGGGCGATTCCAGGCGACGGCCGCATCAACAAGCCTGATGCTGAGCGCTTGCTGACCTAGAATATGCTATGGCTGCCTTGGCCTAGTTGACGTCACGGGGGGGAGAGCTCGAAAGAGTCTGCTGAGTATGTGTAGAGCACTTAAATGCCACAGTGCTGCAAGCAGGCGTGAGATGATCAAATTCTGTCGCGCAAGTGTTCCCCTTGGCCAGTCGCGTTGTAGCTTGGACCCGTGAATACCCGTGGTCCATCAGGTCCAGAGCTTGCTGCATCTTTGGGCTTTCCCACTGGTGTCAAGCAGGCCCTCTTGAACAAAGCAGTCCAAGTCTTACCTTAACGCTGTGATTTGCCAGGAGGGCGGCACGAGGGATTTGCTCGAAGCAAGGCTCGCGTGTGCGTTTGGGCGAGCTGGGTCTTTCTTAAGTACAGACAGGTTTCAGGCCATGGACCGGGATGACAATCGAGAAGTGACCTGGGAGGAGCCTGATGCCTCAGTGAAATCTGCACGCGGCAGACACCCAACATCATGCCAATGACTGCAAGGGCATTTGTCAATTTGAGGTTTTTTGATTTCTTCAGCGCGGAGATGGAGCAGGCTGCACAGGAGGGCGTTATTCCAGGCGCACGCGACGTTGCATTGGCATTGTTGACATAGTTGTCGGAATTTAGCCGGGCCATTTCCTCATTGCTCCAATCCCATCCAATCAATCCTAAATCACGATTAAGACCTGCTATGCAGTGACAGCGATACATGATTTAGGCAGCGGTACTGTGAGGTGTGGTCGCTGCGCAGCGATCGGTAGATGGGCTTTCTTGGCAGCCAGAGAGGTGGGATCGGACGCAAGGCACATCCCTCTTCAGTGTGTTGATCCACGCATGCATGCGAGGCAGAACGTGAGCAGCAGCCACCATAGCAACAAGTCAGCCGGCCAAGGCATCGGCCAAGATGTACAGAATGCAATGAGTAGGCCTTTTGCTCTCTCTCGCAGGTAGCCCAAAGGCTCAAAGCTGGATGCGGGACCTCCGTCAGGAGGACTGGGTGGGAACTGGGACGAGGCAGGTTGAAAAGATATGTCACGGCTGCAATGCAGGAGAGGACACAGCAAGAGCTGATGCAGGACTTTTCCTTAGAGAACAAGGCTAAGGTGCACCGACCTGCAACTGTCGATGTCGAGGACTCCAAAGGCGTGTCCAACAGCTTGAATAGGGCAGATCAGGCAGGTGATTTGGCAATTCGAGCGATCGTGTTGGAGGTGGATGCCAGCAAATGCTTGTGGCAGGCTGAGCAGGAGCGGATTCAAGCGCAGGAGGAGGTGCAGATTTTAGATTTATGCGAGCTTCAGATAGCCACTTTCCACAGAAGTGCAGGCTTTCGAGAAAGAGTTCGAGCAAAAACACAAGGTTCTCTCGTGGAGTTTTGCTTTGTGTCACTTGCAACCAGCGTCCAGCCCCTACATGGCCTAGGCATGGGAAGAACTGCAGGAGAGAGCTAAAGATGACGAGGTGCGTGACGGAGCGTGACGAATTCGATCTTCATATTATGATAATATGTCTTCATCGGAGAATGCCAGGCAGAAGCCAGGCAGGCGATAATGGAAGCGGCGGAGAAGCTGCTCCAGGCCACGTGGTTTGCCATAGGCTCACCCTCGACAGATCGCGAACGCCTTTGAGCGAAGTCAGAAGCTCGCACGCACATGTCGAGCAGTCGATAAAATACATCGCGACTGAGTTGGCGAACCGAACTTGTGTGTGCCGCATAGACGTCAGCAGGGCTGCTATGGACCTTATCAGCCATACAGGGTAGCTTTTAACTGTCAATGCTGTCACGACAGCTAGCTCTGGAGCTTTGGGGAGTTGTCGTTTACAATTCACTTCAGTAGTCGAGAACCAGGTCAAAACCGCGTGCGAGCTTATCTGGTCAGTTCAACACGGTTACCAGGCAAATGATTGATTCAGAGGCAACACGGAGGGGGAAGGGGCCGGTGGCGGCTGCGGCCTCCTCTTCCCCTTACCTGAGGGTCACTTGTCCAGCATGTTTAGACTGCCTTAGCGTAGTGCATACGTGTTGTCTCACTGTCACAGTGCAAGGTCGCTTACTAGTTCCGAGTAGTAGTTTCAAAAATAATCGGCAGCATGGCGACTTTCGTGTAGTTTGACTTCATACAAATTACCTTTTTACGCATCTGCCTAGCTATTACACTTTCTGGCAAGTTCCATTTCTGCGGGCTGATCCATAGAGAACCTTGTGGTTGAGCACGCAGCCGCGTGTTGCGACTTTTGAGGCGCCCGTTTGGGGTTGTGTGGGGTGTATTGGCATTTCGGGCTCCTTCTGCAAGTGTATTTAGCAGAGACAGTGGGTTGTCTCCACGTTTTTGAGCACATCGCTGACAAGATGTCCATGACCCACTGTTCGGCAGAAAGCTGCCGGGCATGTGCCCAGGAGAATTTTCACTTGTATGCTGGAGTGATTCGCAGTGCTGTGCTGCAGTAGATTCGCTGGACGAGTCGCCCCACCCTTTCCCTGCTACGCTTCCGTCCCCTAGCTTCGCGTCTTGGAACACGTATAGTGTAGGACTGGCTGCAAGTAGCTTGACTGCCTTCAGTAGTGTGCGCCTGAAAGAACCAGGGGTCCAAGGAGTTTGAGAGGGTCTTTCTGCTGCGTTTGCAAAGTGCAATTGCCACAGAGCCTTTGTCAACGAGTGTGTGTGTGTGTGTGGGGCATTGACGAACTGGAAGGACTTGTCCGATAACCCTTTCGAAGTCTGGGACCTGGCTGGTCTTATGTCCTGCAGCTGTGCGTGGCGTGGCAACCGTCCTCAGTTAATCCCACGACCTTCGGAAGTGTCGGTTGTGGAGCAGGTGCGATGCATTGCACGAGCTCAGGGAGTGCTGAGCATTGACGATGCCGAACTCTGTGTGTTGTTGGCTCAGGGCGAGGGTCAAACAGCGTAGCATAACACAACGATTGAGTCTGGCAGGTCTTTGATGTGCTCTGCTTATCCGCAAGCTAACAGACTGCCTCTACAGAATTTTGTCTGGGCTTGCCATGGCGATCAACGAAGACAAGACATTAACCAAGCCGGTGTCTGATCCTCAAGGTTCACAAGCATCATGCAGAACTACAGGGAATACAGGCGTTGACGCTGTTGCGTCGGTACCCAGGCGAAGTGACGGCGAAGATGCTCAGGCCTGCCACGAATAGCGGAGGGAAGCGCTGTCCATCAGCACTCTTGAATGTGAACTGATGTGGACAAAGCTCTTGTCTCAAGCGGAGATAAGATTAGCCGTACAGCATCGCTACTCGTCAGATGCAAAAACTATCCGTTGCAAAAACTATCCGGTGGAGCAGATGGATGTCCAAATGAAGGGGCGCTCCTCAGAACTCGAAGGTACTGGCAAGATAGGCCATAGGAGCATTCCGCGAACAAGAATGTCGAAGATCACGGAATGAGACTGACCGGCAGTGCCACACAGGTGAAGCTCTTTAGCTTTTTCGAGGAACTTGCCGAGCCGGTCCGAAAGCAGGTGTCCCAGTGAACACTGCCGGCTCTCTGGCCAAAGCATGGCCGAGAGCAAAGTGCCTATCGAGCCGTGGAGTGTCGAGGTTGGTGCAAACGGCCTGGCGGTCAAGAGGGAAGCTCGTACACGATGTCAAGGCCGCTCAGCACATGGTCACGTCGTCGCTGTGCTCTGGTGTTCAAAGCAGGCCTATGTTCTTCTCTTTACGAGCATGGTCTGTTCCATGCCTGCGCGCGCGCTCCACCCTCAGTCAAGAACAGAGCCAAGAGCACGTGAGCTCACGTGTTGCCGGGCAGGTTGCGTGTGGTTCAGAATCCCAAGCTGCAAGCTCTATTGGCAGAGGAGGAGGACGAACTCTGACGGAGTTTAGGGATCCCATGTACATGACGATGCAGGATCCACAGGCACTTGCAGCGGTGGTTGCTGGAACGGGAGGCATACGTGCATGTCTGCAAGGTTTTTTGAAAGTCTCTTGTTTTCTTGCGGTGCCAAGAGTCCGAACCTGGCCAAGCTTATTCAAGATTGTCTGATCAGCTCAGCATCAACCTTCAATAGCAGGTGCACTCTGTCTGGGTTCAGTGGGAGCAGTGTGTTGCCTAGCACGGCCCACCGCTGTACCACTGAGTACGTGCCGGAATCCAAGATGAAGCAATTCGCTTGCGGTCAAGGTGATTGGAGCCACAGTGGGTGCTGCAGTGGGACTTTGCGTCGGAGCAGACTTCTCCTCAGCCTCAGTCTTGCCGCCGTCTCGTGTACAGCCTGCCAAGCGGACAAGCCAAGGTTCCTGCTCTTTTTACTTTCGGCTTGTCGCTGCCACTGGGAGCTCTGTCGGGTGCATGAGATGCTGTTTTCCAAGGAAGCGGACATCACGAAAACGCTTTGTGCGCATTGAAAAGGTTGGGCGGATCTGGTGGTCTTCTCGCTGGGGCTCGGGTCCCGGCAGCTACTTGCACTTGCACCGCGCCTCTGTTTGCAGCGATTTCTATCGAAAGGCTTTCACGGGAAGCTCTGCCGGCTTTGCTGCGCACTCAGAAGTCGCGACATGAACACCGCTGGAGGGCTTAGGTGAAGACAGGTGCGCTTGGCATCTATCTCAGGTTTACTTTGAACGCACTGCTGCATTGGTTGAGGTTGGTGGTGCAACGAGTGGTCCAAGCCATACACTGGAGTCATGAGCCACAACATGCCACAACCATTTGTAGCTATCGCTGCAGAAGCGAGCGTCGTGGCATGCTAAGGCACTTTTCTAGCCTACTTTCGATCCGAGCCGCGGCCAAGGGCATGCTGCACATGTGCAACATTCTGCAATCCTCTGATGCCAAGGATTAGGCTCGCAGTTGTCATCGTCAGTGCCAAAGTTTACGATGTCTACCATGTCATAGCCAGGTCCTTAGCGCCACTGTGCGGGAAAGCGCAGCAGAGACCCTGCAGGTCTGAGTCGGACGTTGGACTCAGGTCGTGCGACCCACCAACGCAGTCAAGGCTCGGTCGCGGGCAAGTTCCGTGCCTTGCTTTGCATGCAAAGCACCAGGCAGCAAATCGCAAAGTTCGCGATGGGGTGCACGTCTCCGCCGCGTACACGCAGGAAAAGGCGTGCTCAGCACGTGCTGCATGAAAGGAGTTCTCCCAACTTCTGCAGATAGGGCCCTTGCGCAGGCTAGGGCAACTGCAGACTTTGTAAAGACTGCGGCTTCCAATCGGCACGTTCAGGACCGCGACTTGCAGAGGGGTCTTTTTGGATGCTGAAGCCGCGACATTGGACAAGGTGTCGACGGCTGGCGCGGGCTTTGGAGCTGCTGCCTTGGGCACTGCCGGGGCGGCAAGTGGCGTCGCCGCCTCGAGAGAGGCGATAGGCGAAGCGATAGGCGAAGAGAGCAGCGCCTACTGCGGATGCGTGCAGATCAGCGTGGACGCATGTGGACTGAAGGCTTGTGTCGGGGGCACTGTCGGGGCCCTGTGTGGATTCACCCTACTTTCGTGCTTTTTTGTTTACTTGCTTGAGGTGGGTGCCTTGGTCGGCCTGGTGCCTGCGGTATTTACCTTTGGCCTCTCCATTCCAATCGGTGGGCAAGTTAGAAAGATCTTCGCTTTGCTCCGTGAAGTCTCTGCACATCCCAGCGCAAGGCGCCGCCGTGGGTGGCTCTACCGGCCTCTTCGTTGGTGGAGCTGCCAGATGCCCAGAGATCCCAAAGACGCAAGGAGATGTCCAACAATCAGAGACCTGGAAAGTCCATCGCAGTCACAAGGCTGGCTGCAGCTTGGGATTTGCAGGCCGTGAGCGAGCTGCTTGAACATGCTTGAACTAGAAGAGTGACCTGTTGGCAGAATGGGGTTCTGTGACGGGGTATGGCTTGGGATGAAGTGACGGGAGTGGGTGATGTTTCAACTTCCTGGCTGCGTCTGCGCTCCAAGGACATTATTGTATTTCGGTTCTTTGCGTGCCAACCAACTTAGCCCACCCAGAATTTCGCGAATCCTGCTGCGAGAGCATGGGATTTTCCGCTCAATCACGTTTACAAAGGCTCTGCTGCCGACACTGATGCCTTTCTGCTGACTGCAAACGTGGTGCAGAAATTGAGAAACGCGTAGCAGCAGAGCAGTTCAACACGTTCATGACCATTGGTCTCCTGGGTGCACCATGCAAAAATGCAACACTCGTGCCCGTTCTCCTCCCCTTTGCAGGAGGAGGCAGCGCGGCTTTTCTGGCGTACAGTCAGCGAGGCAGGGTCATGCGACGTATGGTCAAATGTCATACCACCGCTTTAAGGCTTGCCCATGGCCGTTTGCAACTACTTCAAGCCACAGGAGGGGACCCGGGCGCAAAGGGGCGGGGCTGATCGCAGCGCATCTCTATAGAGTCTTAGAGAAGTCTTCTTCTCTCAGGCCATGCCGGCAGCAGAACACCACGCGGAGTTTGCACAGAGCAGCAAGCATTTGCACGCTACGTAGTGACGTAGCTTCCGCGAAAGCTCTTTGTGCACTAGATTTGCACGGATGGCACAGTGTCAAGTTCCGTGGCTAAAACCAGTTTCACAACAGCTCAGAGATATACCAAGGTCCGTGTGCAAAGTGGCTTGTGCCAAGAAAAGCCACGTGTCCATTGCAAGATGCAGAGGCACTTGTAAGGATGGTGACCTTTTCTTACGTCGACAGGTCGCATCGTTGTTGCAAGCAGCTGCAGACACGGAGCTGGCAGATTATTCAAGGGCCCTCCGCCTTCTGCACAAAGAGGCAGTGATTTCTCGGTTTCCTGCTTCAGCTTTTGCCAGCCCTTACTTTTGCAGTCTGCGCGCAACCTCGAGCGTTTCAAGTTCCACCTTCGAATGCAGACCTAGCCTTGTTTCAAGTCGCCGATTGAGGGTCATGTTCGTGAAGTCCAGTGAAGAATCGGCCGTGTAAGGATTGACGGATTTGATGCCGATGTCCCAAGCACGGAAAGCATGCTGCCGTGAGCTCAATGGCGGTGGGGTCGGTCGTCGGTTCCGGAAGCTCAGCGCAGCGCATTGCATTGTTGCAGGTCGGTGGAGTCGGTCAAGGCCAGCGTTACAAATGGCTGTATCGGCAGATTTCCAGACAAGAGTTACGGTTCCACGCCACTTCAGATATAGAGCGAAGCATCGGTACTCCAGATTACCTTAGGAGTCTGACATGCGTGAAATCCTCCATTCCTTTCTGGGTTCACTTCGTGATCTCCTCCTCGTAGCTCGGGCGTGAAGCGTGCCATTTCAGAAGGGCGATCCCTGTCTCCCTTCACAATCTCCGCCTGTCTTTCGGTAGCCCAGGAGATCGTATGACGTAGCCCAATGCCGCAATGTGACCCTTCTCTCAGCTTTCACAAATTGCTCTTGTCTACCTTTTCATAGCCTTGGAACCTGATCATGCTACCCGCTGATGCTACCCAGCCGCAGCTTTCCGAGAGCTTCCGCTTTTTGCCACCCTCATTGCTTATTAAGCATAAAATTCTAATATTTTCAGCTTAATCGGGGTCGAATCAGCTGACAGGCAAGCGCATCTCAGGTTTTCCTGGCTTGAGCGCGTGGTCCCATCAAACTGTTATGCGACCCGAGATATTGGTTTGGCAGGGTTCTTGATCGTAAATGTCTCACTCACTGCAAGATGATCAAATATGCCTACTTGCAGACCGTTGAGAGATTTCATTCTATTCCATGGAGTTGGGTGTCGCTTGGGCATTGAGTTCAAAATCTATTCCCCAAAAGGCATCAAGTGAACGAGGGTGTGAAAGAAGAGTATGCTGTTCAGGCAGAAGCTTCGTCCCAGTGTCATGGGTCGCACTTATGATTGTCTAGCTTATTAGGACGCGAGAAGCCTGCTAGAGGCTGCTAGACTGCTCCAAGGTGCGGAGGCTGCCAGCAGCTGGAGGCAACTGGTTGTCAGGGACATGCAGCTTTTTTGTGGAGTTCGCTATCTTTCCTTGGAGGCCTTCCAGCACGACATACTGATTCGGGCTCCAGCTTCTTCATGCAAAGGCTCGGTATTGATGCAGAAAAGCATGTTGGATCCTTGGATCCCAGTCCAAAACTTCGATTATGCCCAGTCCAATTTAGTCCACCCACGGGCGGGCGTGCTTCGCAGAGTCTCTTCTCGGCTCTGATTCGAAGGACTCCCGTAGCTGTGCCCGGGTGGCCTTCCATTGGCGCTCGCACAACGCAAAAACGATTTGATGCATGGCCGGCAGTTCAGGGCAGTCACAAGCAGCAGTCTCTTGAGACCCCTCGAGTTTTCATAAACACTCATCGTTGAAGCTGTGAGTTGCCTGAGCGGAAAGGTTCGTTCACAGCATTGTGCATTGCGTAGTGCATGTCATATAATCGCATGCTGATTGCCGAGTTTTGCGCAAATCAATAATTTGTCCTATCTGATCAAACAGGGCGGAAAGAAAGAAAGCAAGAATAGCACACAGAGTGAGCTGGCCCCTGATGTCAAAATCCGCATCTATACAGGTAGAATCATTGCAACTATGTCTTTCTCATTTCCGACTAGGTCTGAGTGTCCCATCGGGGGGGAAACAAGTACTCACACGTTGGGATTCGTCCAGGAAGGAAAGCTGTGTCCGCATAGACCCCAAGCTGTGCGAGAGCACCTGGCAGTCCACACCGCAAAAACTCCCAAACCGATTGCATGATTCCAAAATGTGGCAGGAGATTGATTGTGCTCGATTGGAAGATCGGCTCCCAGAATACATACCGCCCGACTTGGGGAAGTAGATAAAGTGTGCATGCGGTGGAGGTTTGACACCGCCGAGCCCAGGACGAAGAGAAAAGTGTGGCACTGCCACGACTTCAGAGTCTGTGTCGGGAGCACGATTTCCACCCCAACCACGCAAGGCACAGTGTCGGCAGTGGTCCCAAGTACGAGAGTGAATATACGATTGGAAATGGTGGCGAGAACGCGATTTTCGTTTCGCATATCACGAAGCAAGACTTCAGGTGCCCGGAGTGCATGCCTAATCGCGCACTGGAGCAAACCGGACAATCTCAACTTGCTGCGACGTCCATCGTAGAACGTAGGAGAGCTTCTGAGCAAGGCTCAACATCGGGTCATCCAGGAGACTCTGCCGTCGGAGACTGAGGTGATGAGTGAGATTGCGATCAGGTAGTAGAAGTGTCCTGGAGGCTGGGGGAAAAGGCGATACACTTTCATCTTCCAGGCGGCGGAAGCACGGTCAAGATCCGGCAAACACACGGCCCCCTTGCGTGATTTTCGGACCCCTTATGTGATTTTCGGATTGCTGTCAGTTGTGGACCGCGCCCCAATTTCATGCCAGCGGATGTGAAGGCCAATCAAATCCGATCAAGTTCCATGTCCTTCCAACATGTCTGAACACTTCGGTGTCACGAGGCTCCAGCATGGGCTTCTTCATACAACCGTGTGGTTGAGAAGCAGCCGTTTGCTGCCCAAGAGTCACGGTCAAGCGGTCTGGCCCCACTTATGTCAAGCCAAGGTCACCTGCAAGCTTTGTGCACCAGGCCAGTTACCAATCGCGTGGGTCCTTCCCCTCCCCCTCCCCCTCCCCCTCCCCCTCCTCCTCAAGTTAGCAATGACCTTGCCCATTTTCAACCGCTAGACCCCCCCCTATGCCTCAACACCCTTTCCATCACTACATACCAATCCAACCCTCCACTTTTCACCTCAAAAACCCTCCAACTCACACCCACATTCAAAAAACACCCTCAACCTTCCACCTC